ATATATATATATATATATATATATAGTATATCATATACCTAGTTTTAAACTATTTATTTCAATATCTGTATCAATTTCCATATATGTATCAATATTAATACGATTCTCAAATAATTAAATGTTTAAATATATATATATAAACTAGCAAGAACCTGTCTATAAGTCGCTTTTCATAAGGTGTTTTTAAAATTCTCCTTGAATCTTTGGGAAGTTCCAAACCTTGATTTGGCAATATTTCCGGAAGATCATTAACTAATGTACTGGTTCCATTATAAAATAGCACAATATTGTCGAGTAAAGACATTGAATTCAAAGAATTATCAGGATAATTGTTCCACGTATCATTAACAGGTTTTCCTATTGAAAAATTCAATTCTGCATGAGATGTCTAAATCTTTGAAACTGTTAGAACTTGGTTCTTGATATAGCAATACTATACTAATAGTATATCAAGTAATACATAGTATAGCATATATTTAGTTTTAAACCGTTTCTTTCATTATCTGTAAAAATTTCATTACCTGTATCAATATTACCACAATTTTCAAGTAACTGATAACAAAAACAAAATTAGATGGAAGTTGTTGTAAAAAGACTTCTTTTGTAATTGACAAAAAACTTTATTAAAAATGCGTTACTTAAAAATTTTAAGAAGTTTTAGCGCTTGCGTGTTTTAACTAATTTTTTTTTATTTAATAAAGCATTCTGGGTATTTTTTGGACGAAAAAATTATTGGACGCGAAAAAGACGTTTAGAATTATAATGGGACGGACGGACGCAATTTGAACGTCCTAAGGACGTCTTTTTTACGTCCTGTGCCCACTGGGTTGCGTGATTTAACTGATTTTTTTTTTTATTTAAAAAGCATTCTGGATATTTTTTGGACGAAAAAATTATTAAACGCGAATAAGACGTTCAAAAGACGTTTAGAATTTTAATGGAACGGGCGAACGCGATTTGAACGTCCTAAGGACGTCTTTTTTACGTCCTGTGCCCACTGGGTATATTATAGTTATAGTTTTTTTTTCAAAGTTTTTGATAAATATATCTGTCATTTAATTTTTTTATAGAATGTGTTTATATGTGTTGTATAAAGCCATATTTGTTTATAGTTGTATATATTTATAAATTATTTTTTTTTCATGTTTTCAAAGTGGTGTGACTTGGTATTATGTTGAGCTAGTTTGATAAACTTGCCAGCCAAGCGGTGTACTTATAGCAAAGGTGTGACTATAATATATATAAAATAACAATATTCAAAAAGCATTTATACATTTAAACAACTCCCATCTTTGAAATAAGACTTGTTGTTCTTTAGAATGTCCAGTTATTAGTCATGCTTGTAGCAGCTATACTCCTCCAATAGGCTACTTATTTGACTCAAACAAGCTTCTGTTAAGGTTTTATCTTTAAATAAAATATAATGTAAGTGTAAAAACTGTAAACGGGCGTCATATTCCTTGTCCATGACATGAACTCGGTTAAATTTTTCTAAACTTTATTAGATTTAGGAGGAACACAAGACCCTTGAACACTTATCGAGTCCCGAATATTATCAAAAAAAAAAGTTTTTCAAAAGTTTATCATGTTGGGTTTCAAAAGAAGCGAAATTGTATAAAAATTTCAAAATAATAATCATTTAATTATAAAATTATTATTGAGAATTTATTTTTATTATTTAAGATTGTTATTTTTAAAATATTTAAAAATATTAGGAACCCGGTATGTGTTCAGGGGCTTTGTGCTCCCATAAATCGAAAAAAATATATGGAAAAGATTAACCAAGTTGCTAAAAAAGTTTTAAGAATATGAACATATCTTTTTTAGAATATAGGGGACATATGGGAAACCTTAAGCAAAAACGTAAAAGTGCATGAGGTTAGCAATTTTTTGGTGACCTCGTTTTTATTTTTTATGGTGAAACCTTTGTGAAAATAGTTTTATGTTAAAGTAGGCAATATATTTCTACGCAAAACTTGTCATTAGAGCCCCAATTTTTTATTATTATTTTTTTTTAAGTGAATAAAATTTACAGATTACTTAGAAACATCTGGCTACCTAACATATTTTAATGTCGCCGTTCATAAGACTAAAAACAATCAAGTTAACGCTTAAATTCAATTAGATATTTTTTATAATTGTTAAATTGATACAGAGTTTCTTTAACTTATATAAATGCATTACGCAGATAATACATGTCGCAAATTAACAAAAAAAGGGTTTGCGATGTGTTTTCATGTTTGTAAACTCATTTATTATGCCTTCATAACTTAATTTTCTTGCAACCTCGTTTTCAATCGTCCGCATTGCTAAGGAAGACAAACGTTCATCGACCGTTGTTGACTATTTAAAGATACAACGAAATACAGCTACATGCATTTATGTATAATTAGGCAAGATTATTTATAATAACCTATGAAATGTTTTAATTAGTTTTAACTTGCTGAAGACACGTTCTACACTTGCAACAGTGACTGGTGAAGTAAGAATGAATTGTAACGCAATAACAAGATTGGGATAAGTTTCTTGCAACTCTTCTTTGTAGATGTTTAGGAAATCATGTGCTGATTTTAGAAGAGCATTTTTTTCCTCATTTATAACAATAACAAATTGTTTTAACTCTTTTAAATTAATTCTAACATTTCTAAATACTCAGAATCTATATCATCAACCTTTATTTGCAAACTTTTGCATTATACAGACAGAGAAGTTTCATTGCAAGCTTTGATAAGACTCTCGGATCGGTAAAGAAAGTCAAAAAACTTTGTGACAATGCTGATCTGTTCAAAACGCTCTTTTAACAATGTGATTGACAAATCAATCAGTGGCAAAAAAAAATCTGCTTTATTCTGATGTTCAGGTTGCCGAATGTGATCAACTCGTATGAATAAATTGATTTTTTATTCATGAACGCACTATCGGAAAAACCCTTTCAATGCCCAATAATTATGCAATTTCTGACGCCTTAATACATGCGTCAGAAAATCCATTTTCACAATACTCATAAAGAAATGCATTTCTTGCCTTTATTTCACTCGCTAAGATGTTGAGAGAGATTGCAGAAGACTGAAGCAGCTTAGTTGATTTGTTAACTTGAAATAAAACGTCATGCCAAATAATGATTGATAATAAGAAAGGCCATGTTCTAATATATTCTGTCAGTGATTGCACTTCTGTAGCTGTTGCCCTATCCCTTTTTCTAAGACATGTTCTTCCAATCCTTCAAGTGCCTCTAAGATTTCTTTTAAATAATAGCCTAGTGGTTTAATACAGTTTGTTCTACTTTCCCATCTGGTATCTGATTGTGTTTTGACAGAAATTGTCACGTACGATTTTAAAAGTTCCCATTAAGGAGGAGACAATGAAAAGAGAGTATATAACCTTTAAAGAACACAAAAAAAAGAAATTGCACTGATGGATAACAGTGCACCATCAACAATAACAAGATTGAGTGAATGGTTTGTACAAGGAACATATAAGGCTTTAGGGTTCATTTCCAGAAACTGCTTGAACACTTTTTATTTTTCCTTTCATAATTGCACCATTATCATAAGATTGACTTCGACAGTCTAAAATATTGAAATCCGAATTTTTTGCCTGATTTAAAAATGCATCATCATCATCAGCCCTTTTCCAGTAGTATCATTTACTGTGAGATGTCCAAAGAAATTATCGGAAATGTCGATACCTACTCCAAGAGTACATGTTACTGATCGCAGAATTATGCTCATTTTGTTCTATTTTCGAAATGTCTGGCGTACAATCTAAAATAATGAAATAGTATTTTGCCTTTTTTACCCTAGAAAGGTTTTTGGATTCAATCTCCTTGGCTAAAAGTCTAATCAACTCGTTTAGTGTGTCATAGCTCAAATAGTGCCTCTTGGTTTCTTTGTCCTGAATTCTTTGCATAAGTTCATTGAGAACGGTATTGTACTTAACCAGTAATTTTAGCCAATGTTTTTTTTTAGCGTATTATTTTCAATTCTACAAATCGGTTTTTTGCAAATATCGCACTATATTGGGCCAACATTTAGCCAATGTTTTTTTTTCGGCGTAATATTGCAATTCTACAAATCAGTTTTTTGCAATTGTCGTACTACGTTGGGCCAACATTTGGCCTATGTAGTTTAGGCTAAATATTTTGCTATAAAAATCTGTTCTTACATTTATGCTGTAACCAATATTCAGCCAATGTAGTTTCGGATTAGTATATATTTTTAAATTTGTTGCAAAACATTTTTACTTAAATCTTTCTTGAGGTTATTTTAAAGCATGGAGTCTTAGGCATAGTTGTAAGTCATGAGCAGGTTACTGAGTTTCAAAAACCTGGTTTGCTACATCTACGTTTTTTATTGAACTTAGTAAAAGTTGATAAGCTAGAAACAGCAAAAGATATTGATAGTTTAGTATCAGCAGAAATTCCAGACCCAGTTGTTGATCATGAACTTCATGAAGTTATAAAATCATACATGATTTTATAATTTCATTAAGGACCATGACGTAATTTCAGGACCATGACGAATTTTAAATCCCAATTCTATCTGCATAAAAGATAAAAAATTAACAAGTAATTAACAAGTAAGTTGTTGTACTCACTTAAACTTAATTATTTTCTATACTAATTGGTTTTATTTATCTCTGGCTGCTGCTTTTTCTGATACAAATAAGTTATTGTATTCACTTATACTTATTACATAAGTTAAATGATTTTATTCGTAAATAGTATTATATTTTGGCGATTTCCACCTGTGCAGTTTATTAGTATATTGGTACATTAATAGGTTGGTCTTATATTATTTCTAATTTTTCTAATCACGATTGTTTTAATTATTATCATGCATGTTTTTAAAAATGTGTTAAGTACAATATAAGTTATCCAGAATTTTAAAATACATTTAAACAAAAGTACTTTATTTTCAAATACATTTTTATGTTGTTAATACATTTAAAAACTTATTTATTATTATAACGCCATTGTTTATTTTATATTTATTTAGGATATGGGACATTTCTTTGTGGAATTAAAGTTTTTAACGTCTTCAAGGTTAAAACGACTTTCGCGGTAAGTGATCATCAACCATTGAATATTTAATTTATGAATCCATTTAAAAATATTTTTAACAAATTTGATATCGTTGTGAAGGCGAACTTCTAATTTTTCACAAACTTTCATCCACGGCAGAAAACATTCTTTAAAATCTCTTCTAGATATTATGTAGTTTGAAATGCATATCCTCAACCATTCAACTTTATTTTCTCGTTTTAACCCTTCAATTTTTATTGGACAGCAAAAGATTAATATGCGAACATTATTCGAACATTGAACTAAAAGATCTTTTTCTTCATCAGTTAGATTTTTTTTACAAACTTTTAATTTTGTTAA